ATGACTATTTTTGTGCTGAAGGTTAATCTCTTTCTACTTGGATCCCTAGAAATGTAGGATAAATTAAAAAAACAAAACAAAACCCCAAACCAAGGACCAAAGAAGGCCTTAGGGAGACTAGACAGGGGGAAAAACTCACTCTCCAACCCGGCAGGGCCACCAGGGAGGTGGGGCCCGCTCCGGTCCCACTACCCATGGCAGTGTGGGGCAGGCCGGCTCTAACGCCGCAGGAGCAATGAGAAGTGGTGGGCTCAGGGCAGAGCTATAGCATCATGGCAATCTCCCTTTTTGACTTAGGTCCAGAAGTCTGTAGGGGAGGACAACTCAGTCGTACACAGTTCCCCTTGGGTGCAGCTACCTCCTTTTTTCATGTTCGGTCAACCCACAGCAGACCACTCTGCTTGCTGGGGGAAAGAGCAAGCTCCTCTTGTGCAGCGAACTTGCCCTTTCTACTTGGTCTTTCTCCAGATCCCTGATCCACTCGCCACAGACGACATGCCATTTTCTATTCAACTCAGCATGTTTACTTTTTTATTGTGATTCATGTCTGAGTTTCTTTTGAATCAAATTACTGCATTTCCCTGGTGAGATGTGCCATATGACGATCTGGTTAGAACAAAATCAAATACAAAATATGCACCGAGTGCTGCTCTGTCTCAACTCCACCACATGTTTTCCCTTTGTTTGGACACACTCCTGTCATCTACTTGAGCAGTAATAAATCCTCCCAGTGTTTAAGCCAATTTTCAGACAATTTTGTCTTGAAAAAGATAAAGATGAATTGGTTGAAACACTGTCAACAGAGAAAAAGTCACTGTTTCAAAACTATTTTACAACTAGATGGCTGGTTTCCCCAACATACCTGGATTGAAGAAGACCAGACAGACTGACAGGATGATTATACTGAGTCACAGAAGCAACTGGAGACTTTCTTGACATGCGACCCCAGATAAGGTTCAGTCTTTTAACCAGTGCCTAAGCCAAGCACGCGGTAGCATTTTTGAACAAGGACAGCGCAATGCAGTTCACGGTATACTTCCTCAGTGATACATTTTCCTTCTGTCCTTTTCCTTCTTGGGTATTGATTATTTTTTTAAATCAATGAATTCCTATGCGTCTTATACAAATAATGTTTAAAAACTAAGCAGTTTGCACTAAACAGATCAGCATCCAAGTACAGGTATGAGACTCATATTAGCTGTGTCTTTCTTCCCTTCCCATGGCTTCTAGATGGCATCTCAGCTCCTTGGTAAGACACACAGGGCCCTTTGTGATGGAGCCCTGACATCCGCACCTGCCAGCCCCTCCTAGGATTCAGGCTAATTTCCCAGTGCACCCTGTTGTCTTTTGTATCCACAAGAAATCTGCCCTCTTTCACTCTCTGGTCAACTCCTGCTCACCCTTCAAGGAAAAACTCATCCTTGCCCAGTATTGCACCCTAGGATGGCTCAGGTGCCCCCAGAGGCCGTAAGGGCACCACTGCAAAGTTTCGTTATGGGGTTTAGCCTGCTTCAGGTACGACGTGGCTGCTTCCTCCTTCAGAGTGAGCTTCCCGAGGGCAGGGCGTCCAGCAGTGTCAGAGGCACAGCATGTGGTTAATGGTCTCTGGTGGATTAAGTACAATTCATTAAACTTTCTCCTAAAGTCTGCCTTGCTGAAAACACCAGCAGAACCTTTTCTTAAAAGATTACTGAGTGGTCTCTAGTTATACCACTCCTTAAAGCTTTCCTACCAGATATGAAAATAATGTTAACAATGAGAGGTAATAGCATATTTAAAAATTCTTATTTTCTAAGACCTTAAACTTCATCCACAGAATCAAACCTACCTACTTACGTAAGTTTCTTTTTAATGGGGACTTCTGATGACATATGAGATGTAGTAAGGAAATTACCTAGCCCTAGAGCTAAAGTAAAAATGTATTGAGCCCTTTCCTCAGAGTGCTGAACACAAGAAATGAGAGACGTACTGAACTGCAGTATGACAGTTTCCCGCTAAAGAACACCCTGTGAACTTCTATTCTTGGGTCTTTTACAGGTTGAGGCAAAAATAGGTTTACAATTGTGAGTAGATAAAACACAGCTTATTACTGTATTACTTACTATTTATTATTGTGTTATTTTCCACACAAACAACTGTAAAGCTAATTTTGCCCCACTCTGTATTAGTATTCTTCTCTTTTACTAGTTAACATTACAACTGAATGCCAGATACAAGTCTAGCACTTATGATGCATTAAGTGGGTTCATCCTCATGAGGTTGATACCACAGTTATTCCATTTTACAGACGGCCCAGAGAGGTTAGATAACTTGCACAAGGTCACACAGTTAGTAGTAGGAAGCAGAGCTGAGCTGCATCACGGGCAGTCTGGCGCCTGGGCCTGTGTCGCAGGCCATGGCTTCTCAGCATGTGCCCTGAGAGATTCCCACTGTGCTCCTGACTCTTGGTGCAGGTTGGAGGGACAGAACCGAACCTCCTGATTCAAAGTACCTTTGTGTAAAGTTCGAAAAGCCAGTAAACTTAAACTAACTGTGTTATGACTTTCCAGATTCACATCAGAATAAATGTTCCCTGGGGTTAGAGAATGCAGAGCAGGGCAAAAACAGCCGGGAACCTCTCAGTGCTCCTGTAACGCCCATCAGCGTGGCTGTGCCTCTGGAAAAGATCTGGGCATGTAGTTCAGCGACACATGCAGGCGAGGATGCCAAAGGTACGGCCCGGGTGCGAGGCGGCGCACCGCTCGATAGCCTCCCCGCTCCCTGCAGCCACTGTGTGGCTCACCCACGCACAGTGTCACTCCTCAGTCCCATTCACTCGGCCCCACCACGGTGCTCCTGCCAACATCAGCACCTGCCCCCAGGGAGGGGCATTTCATCATCAGAAAGTTATTCAGCGCTACGATTATTATTCAGAAAATTTTCTATTTTATATTTCTCCTGGTAGCACCTTCTTATTTGTTCCTACTTTCCTCCGTAGAATATGTTTTTTTTCATTCCTGCTTTTTCTTTTTTAAAAACTAATAACGGCTTTGGTGTTTAAAAGTATTAACTTTTCCCTCAGCTTTATGAAGACATAATTGGCATACAACATGTAAGTTTAAGGTGTATGATGTGATAATTTGATACACTTGTATATATATTTTTAAGCAGTCCGCTCTAATTCACCGAGCAACTAGATGAGAAAATGAGCATTTTGAAATATAATTAATTACCATTTTATTTCAAAGTATAACAACTCATTGAATTGTCAATTATAATATGCTTAGAATAAGTATAAATTGTTTCATTTTACAACTACAAATCATGTATCTGCAGGATACCATGAATAGGAAATATTTTTATGTGCACTTTCAAATATGTATCATCTAGAGTGTGTTACGGGAAGTTCCAAGGTAGGTATTTTTAAATAATTCATGGAAAATTAGAATCAGGTTATTTTATGAATTGTTATTTAAGCCTATAACTAATCTTTCTGACATTAATATCTTTAATGAACATTTAAGCAATATCTGCATTCAGAATATTGGATAGAACTCAGACATCACCTCTATTCACTAGGCTTATATTTTCTCAGTAACCTAATTTTGTCTTTCATAAGATATTAATGCTTTTGGAAGTCTTACTCTTAATCCTATTAATTCCTATGCTAGCTTTTACAAGTGCATGAGGAAATACGCAAAGGCAGTCAATTTCACTGAGTTATAAAGTGATAAAGGTAAATCTAAAATAACTGCTAAATAAGAATTTCAGGGTTGCTAAAATGCACAACTCATCTGAAAATATCTCCACAGACTTAAATCAAACCCTGGGGGCTGGTGGGAGTTAGTTTCCTTGGCTTTGCTCTTCTGAAGAGAGGTCCATTAGCAACACAGGAGAATGTACAGGTCAGCAAAGTGTGTGTATTTGTCTGTGTTGGCCCAAAGATCTAGTCTTAAAAGAAGACAAGCCATTGCAGTGCATGTCTCTCACTGCTGTACTGAATCTGGCCATTAAGCTTAGAAGTGGAACTAAACCAAGGACAACACAGCATCCGAGACCTAAAATGAAGTGTCATGAGTATTCCCTAGGAGGAGAAAGAAGCAGTTTGAAAGTTGTAGGCTATGTAGATGGTAGGAACTGACTTCAAAAATACCATTATCACAGACAAGATGTCTTCCAACTGTGAGCTAGTGAGGTGGATACACAACCAGAAATATATTCTAAGATTTAACCCCCCCCCCACATAGCTATATAATCCTACTTTTACTATAATCATGCTACTTCTTCTTCAGCAATGACTGTGAACTAATTTTGATGAGGTAAAAAGAGAAAACTACTCCTCCCACTCATACACTCAAGTCACTCGAGCTTCTTTGAATCAGACTTCTTCAAATCAATTCATTCATTTCAGTTCTTGAATGACTTTCCAAAAGAATTAGCTAATGACAAAAAGTGAAAGAGATGAGCCCTGCATTTTGCAGAGGGTAAGAGAATATCACCGTTCCTGGGATGCCCTGAAAGCTGTCTGCACGAGTTCCCAGGATGCTGACATACTCTCTGGTTTGGCAGGACATAGCAGCTGTCACAACTATGACACTAGCCAGTCCCTCTGATCTCCACCACATGACATCACTGGTTGGTCTGTAATTGTTTTGAGTGGACAGTCTCTTCCTGAGATAACTACACATAAAATTATTAGGATTGAACATCATACTTAATCACAGGAAAAGCCAACAAAGTGATCAACAATGAGGAAGAGAGCTGGTAGGGCTGTTTTCATTGTGCATCATGCAGAATAAGGGAAACAGTGAAGTGGCCCTCCTTTTTCCATTTAACATATGCTAGTTTCCTGGTAATAGATCTTACCTCCAGATGAAAATGGAACCATGGCTAAAATTCGTGGCCTCTTTCTGGTGGCCCCCGTGGAGCCCCACTGGCTGGCAGGGTGGGTTGTGAGTACAGTTCCTGGCATGATGTCCAGGAAAGCTGAGAGGAGGCCCTGGCGCCAGCACCACGCTCACCTCGTATTCCTCCTTGAAGCCGTAGCCCTCGGCACACTTCATCTGCGTGATGTGTTGAAGCAGGTCTGCCACTCGGATGGCAGGGTGAAGCTGCCCGGTCTGGTAGGGCACGTCAGCTGGCTCGCGCTTCTTGTATGTGTGGGACTGCACTAGACTGCTGGTGTCACTGGCCATCGTGTGGGTTTCGTCTAGGAAGAGAAGGCGTGGAGAAAGTGAGGGCCAACCGGCAGGCTGGGTCGAAGTCACCGAGAATGCTAGGACGTTGCTGCTGACATCCCCTCAACCTATAGCTGCGATAATCCCTATGATGGCTTAGCAAAAAAGAAGTTAAATGTTTAGAAATTTACATGGGATTGGCAATACTGATAGGAATGAGGCAGGAATCTTGGTTTTTACAAAGCAGTCCAAACGATATATTGCTTTCATAAAGCTGGTTGATAAGAATCCTTTAGCCTTTGGGTACTAAAGTTCATAGAAGTTTCTGTCTGAAACTTCAGCAAGGCCTGGTAGAAAACCAGTTTTATATTTCTTCCAAGGATTAGTTAACTAATTTTTATGATGAAGTGAATAAACTGTACAAATGTTCTGTGAGCAAAATAAAAGTGCACAAAATGGTTTGGCTTATATAGCTAGTGATGGAAATGTGGACTCGATACATGAAACCCAAGAAAAGCAGAAAAAGAAAAAGGAACTTGGTTTGATGAATCACTTTGCATGCTCCAGTATCAGAAAGCTTGACAAAATATTGTGGACCAACACATCACACATGGAATGTTCTACAGGAGCTAACATGCAGGCCAACACACAGCAGAGCCAGCTGGCGTTGTCGGGTGAGACACACACTCCCACTCCCTCCACACTTTCTCCATGGGGTGATGGGGGAACTTACCATTTATTGGCACTTTTAAGAAGATACATATCAGGAGAAAAGAGGAGAAAAAGGAAACAGGGCATAAGCAATAATTCTGTGTGAATAATTACAGGTAGTTTTTATTTTGTGCTTTAATTTTACGGTTAACTTTTCCATACAAAGGTGATCAAGGGCAAAGCCTCGATTTTCCCATCAGGTTAGGATGGAGGTGTTAAGTGCTCTATAACAAAAAGGAGGTTAAGATAGTATCGTAATTGTTTTCCACCCCTCATGAACCAAGTTAATGACCAAATAAGTCTTTTTTGTATTTGACACATCTTATTTGAATTTCTTGAACAAGTCAACCAAATTGTACTATAAAATTAATGTTAAGATTTGGTTCAATAAGCCTAAAGAGGCTGTCTTTTAATGGAAGACTACTAGTAAATTAGATTAATGGACTGCAGAAACTGTAGCTATTAAAAATGTCTTATGTAGGAAAGTGCTATTAGATTAAGAGATCCACATTCTACAGCTTAACTCATTATAACGCTGAATCCCTTTAGCTGTTTTATGATTGAGGATGTGTCTCATCAAAATATAATGCCAAGTCACTCTAAATGAGGATATTAAATCAAAACTGATTTCAGGTGTAAAGAATAAAACACACAAGGAAGGATTTGTTCAATTTTTTAAAAAATTACCAGGTTGTTTATCAACAGGGGACTCAGCTCTTGGGTTTGTTTTTAAATTAAGTTCAGGTCCAGAGGGAATTTAGTTCGGGGGCACTTGGTTAGCTGTGCCTGGTTCTGAAACCTCACTTGTATCTGCATCGCAAAGCACCTGGGGATGCATGGTATGAAAGGTGGCACACAAGTGTGTAGCTATGTTGCTGTTGCTGAAATGGCACCTGGATCACTACAAGGTGGCTAAAGACACAAAGACAAAATAAAAAGGGTGGTAAGTTGATTTTATGTTTTTTTTTTTCATTTGGAATTGCTTTGAAATTCAGAAATCCATTTGCTCCCATTTTATTAGAACAGTCACAAATAAACTGGGGAATTTTCATATCAGATGTGCTGGGTTGCAACCACCATGCTCAGAAAGTGGGATACAGGATTGCCACTGAAGAACTGAGTCCGGATAGCTTGTGGCTACTTCAGTAGGAAGTTCTGTTCTTTGCACTAAAGTAAATGGAACATTAGTTTCCCCGCTGTGCCTCTCTCGTTCCCTTAGTTCACTGTTTGGGATGAACGTGAGTAAATGCCCTCTGTAGCAGACTGACTTTCTAAACTTCCCCTAAATGAAGCATCTGGGCCTGTTAGTGGACACACTGGCACCTGAGCATGCTCCAATCCAGGGCTACACATTCCTGGAAATTTTAACCATGTGGAAGCTGCAACCACTGTCACCATTGTACGTATCATCTTCTGCTGCATGTGACACCTTGGCCTCATTGCTAGTGTGGACGTGTCCTAAAGCATTCAAGCACTACTTAGACTAAGAAAAGAGTGTACTATTATCCAGTACTTAGGTTATCAAAGAGGGAATAGAAAGTTTCTTGTGCAGTATCTGTTATGAAATTGGGTCACCTTACTAGCAGAAATTCTTGATTCCACCCAAATTAGTAATTAATTAGTTTCTTCTAATTTCTTAAAAAAGAATTATTACTGATAAAACACATTATTGCCATTAATTTCCTATATTTGTTAAAAATTACCCACCAACATTTTTGAATTAAAAACTATGCATCAGAGGAAATCAGAAATAATGTTTCTTGCTAACAGTTCTGATGGTTTTCTAAGAACTGAGAATAAATTCTACCTATATTCTTTAATAACTATCTTGACTTTTCAACAAGCCAACTAAAAACTCTTGAATTGAAATAAATGCCATGTTTCTGAGGCAAGGGATGATCCATCCATCCGTCCATCCATCCATCCATCCATCCGTCATCTATTTTTTGCAAGAATATAATGTAAAGCCATACTAAAGCTCTGTACACTAGCACCTTAGCCTATGAGAATAAAGAGGGATTAGAGGGATTAGAGAATTTAATTGTGCCAAGCTCTCAGTCACAATAAACATTTCTTTTGTCTTAAATTATAATAGCACTATTTTCAAAAAGTACCTGAGTAGATATACAGCTTATTTTCTTTCCAGGTTCAAGTAATAACGTCACTAGTCCTTAGTACGCAATATATAGATTCACATTTGCACCACATAATGTGGAAGGAACAGTTTCCAATCACTACCATGTGCTATGTTGGCACACATATAACAAGATGTGATAACAGTTATTTGTTTATCTGGCTGACTTATTTTTTCACAATGTACATCATTTTTGCTCCTTGAATTACCTGTTCAAATGATGCTCTTTCAGTAAAGAAGCCTAACCAACTTTAAAAGATGTCGTTAGTGTTCATAATAAGCAAGCAGCAACTTTAAAAAAAAGGTATTTGTTTAATAAGCTTATCTAAATCCTGCTGTGCAACCTGAACATTTTGTTCCCTCTGACAATGCAGCCTCGGCCCTCTCCACTCATCACTCCCCCAAGGTCAGAACATCTACTAGAGGCACCCGGGAATGAATGCCACTGCACACAAAGAAACTGCAAATCTGCCTAGCAAAAGAGTTTGCAAATGTCATCTGCAGGTAGACTGCATTGTTTGGGAGCCCAAAATTAGCCTGAGTCCCTCACTTATGAAAAGAATAAAAATGCAGCTTTTTCTCCTTGTAGTTAATATTAAAAGGTGAGAGTTTTAGTGGGTTTTGTTTGTTAGCCATCAAAATGATACAAATTCAAAAGTTTTGACTTATGACCATTCTTAAATTTCTGAGTTCATTTTTTTCCTCAAGCAATGAATTTCCTTAAGCTCAGAAAACACCATAAGAAAAAAATCACCCTCTACAAAAATTGTAACAACTTAGAGAAAAGAGAAGCACAGGGGGAAAATTATGTTGTGAAGATATAAACCCTTGTAAAGAGAATTAGAAGGCAGAAGTCAAACAGCTGAGGATGGAGCTCTTGCTACAAGGAGTTGTGATAGACCTGGAAGTCCTTTGTGCGAGGCTCCCTGTCCATAAGGTTAGTGGCAGAAAGAGAACACAGCCATGACACACTCAGGTCATGTGTGTGTCTCAAATGCAACAGCAGCTCATGCGTGTTTGGTAATGCCATTCCTCCTCACCTTCTTACACTGGACAAACAGGATTTTTTTCTTTCTCTCCCCACTGGGAACATTTAATACTTTCAATGCATTCTGCCCCACATTTTATTTCTAACTTTTTATTTCATTTCTAGTGACATCTGACACATAATTCACCGTTATTATAAAGTGCCATCTTGTCATTTTGTTGTTGGAAACATCAGCTCCTTGGAGATTCTCCTGTGTCAATAGACACTTTGGAATGTGGGGGTGCCCTGAGTGTCTCCGAGGAGGGATTAGGGGCCAACACTCCATTGTTATCATTTTTTCTGCATAACATTAGGTATAATTAGAAAAATGCTATTTTCAAAAGTGAAGTTTTTAGTGCTTAGCAGTAAGTGAAAATAACAAGCTATTTTCACTTTTATTACTGACACATTGGACAGAACTCATCTCGTGGAAGCACACAGCTGAGTGATTACCTACTGTGTTTCTTCCAGGGATCAGACCTGCCTTTAAATTTGGAACATAGAAAGGGAGAACACTGGAGCTGAAATTGTTCATTTGAACCTCTTGGTATCATTCCCAACATGCATGAGGTGAATCTGTCCTACCAATGGAGACCGTTTGGAGAAAGTCTTTTTATTATCTGTGCCCCCAATTTCTAATCCCTGCCCCAGGCCACCCACCCCTCCCACCCCACGTCCTGCTTGCAATCACTGCATCATACAAAATTAAAACCTCAGTCTCCTGCAGAGTGGCTACTGACTCTCTAAATTACTCCTGCAATAAACTATGATAAAGGGAAATGTTCTCACCTAAAATTGCAGTTGGCACAAATGGGTCTGTCATACATCATAAGCAGGTCAGTGCAGAGAAAGTAAAAAGAGAAAGAACAGTAAATGATTGACGAAAGCCCACCAGTATTCCCATAGAAAGCCATTGAAAGCATTGGGTTATAAGACGTCAAACACATTAAGCTCCTAAAGCATCATGGACAGCAAAGTGAGCACTGATTGAATCAGATTGCTAAGGCTTATGAAAAGGTGAAACAATGGAAAAATCTGTTACCTGGGTAATAGGAATTAGGCACTGACGTACTCAGTGTATTTGTTTTCATTGTAAAGGACGATGGTGAAGACACGGCTGCAAATGAGAGGAAAGGCTAGTCAGTGGTTGCAGAGAGGCGACAGCACCTGCAGACATGGCGCTCTGAGACCACTCCCAGGGGCCCCACGCTGCGCAGACTTGACTGAAGAAAACATCAGAGGTCTCCTGAAGTCTGCATGGTAAATAGTACCATACCCACCACCTCTGGAGAGCTGCTGACCCTTTGGAGGACAAGCACCTTTTTATCACTTAAAATATTTTCTTATCCCACAAGTGAAGAAAAAACCCAATAATCACAGCTGCCATTTTAAATAAAGAAATTCATTAGACTCCATTTTGACTTCTAGCCTTTATCTGTGAATTCTAGTATCATGCTGAACTGATTTTTCACAACCAGGAGTATGATAATGTGTCTACGCATGCTTTTTGTAGTTTGTAAAATCCTCTCCTTCCTCATATTTTGGATATTCAGAGAATTTTCCACAATGTTGTGACCTGGTTTATGAAAAATAAAGGTGATATTTCATGTGTATTATATTTTAGATGAAATCTGCATGCCTACATATTATTCTATTGTCTTTTCAATCCTTATCAAATGCTAATTTTTATTTGAACTACTCCTCTGAAAGACTCAAGATTTAACTATCACATCCTCTCTGTTATTAAGAAGAAAGTTAATCCCATCCAATTTATCCAATCCCACTGAAAGTGGGTATTTCCAATTTTTAAAGTAGTTTGTTGACTCTCTTCAACACCTTAATTGATTAGTGCTTTAATCAATTTCATTAACTTCAATTTCATTAATGTTTACAAATAAATAATTTGAATGTGCTCAGGCAGGTTTAATATAAGCCTACATTTTAACTCCTCTGATGCAGGTACATGATTTATTAGATGTTGAGTTCCTGACCCAGTTACATCAGTGTATTAGGTGAACCACTACCAAATCCCAATGGATATTGTATGTTCTCTTTATTCTGATGACATGTTAATATATTTAGCTCTCCTGGAGAGGTTCCTTATGGGACAGTGTTTTACCTGTGTTTATGTTTTTAGAGTGTAGAGTTAGTGAATAACAGAGCGAGAAACACAACCCAGGCTGCCTATTATTTATAAGCTGTTTTTCTAAAATCCAAAAGTATCCCATTTATAATACATATTTATGGTAAGCTGCCAGGAAAAAAGAGAGCAATTGATGGAAATAAGAACAAAAAAACCTGAGTACCTATAAAATATGCCAAGACCAGCAAGAATACTACCCATTACATGCAGATGTTTTTATGTGGTTGGTAAAAATGTGCAACGCAGATACAAAATAATTACATTTATTTTCACCTTTTAAAAAAGGTATTTTAAATACTTATTTTTAGTATAAAAATTAAACCCATTTCCACTATTGATATCTATTTTCCCCCTTTTCATGTACTCCCATTTGCTTTGATGAATAGATTCTACACCCTTGTGCTTATTTTTAAATTCTTCAACCTCATTTTCTGCTCTCTCATTTCTAAAAGCTACTCACCTCCCAACTGCTAGCACTTTCTCCAACCTTAACAGGTCTCAAACATTCTCAGGTTTGTAATAGGGTTGGGGCTGGAAGCTCGGTAGTCTAATGAACATTTTTCCTCCTCTCTTATTTCAGAGACATTAAGAAAGCATTATGATAAAGTTTACCACCAGGATCACTGCTGATAGATGGGATCTGATGAGACCTACTCATTGTTCACAGAGTGGGAAGAAAAAGGAATGCCCAGCAGCAGGAGAAGCAGCTAGAAGTTGACGCCGGCTGCGCAGCGTCCTCCTCGCATGAGCGTTACTGGTTTCCATAGACACATTCATTGTTTTAAAAAGTGTCAAATTAAATTTCCTGTCCAGAGGCAAATATCTCCCTGTTGTTCAAACTTCAAAAGCCCAGATACTGCTAATGTAGGTCTCTGCCCTCTGGGCAGGTAATTCCAAGCAAATTTATTTGTGAGGAATTTTACCATGAAATAGAAAACTGGGGACATTAATGGGTTGTCCTACAAAGTGAGAACATACCTGCATGGTCCTTTACATACTGCCATTCAAGAAATAACTGCAACTACAAAAATCCTAACCTTGAGCGGGGTGGGAAGGACTCCTATCTCAGCCCACAGTGAATGCATCCTGAAGTGAAAAATATAATATGTAGCTTGTGGTGCCCTGAGGCACCACAGATTCTGTCACCTACATGAGAATGACAGGAAAGGGCTAAGCACAATGACCAAGGATGATGTGTGCTGGGCTGCCCACTGGGGTCACAGCTGTGTCTGCTGAACTACTGCTCCCCCTGGCTAGTTGTGCATGTAGAGTAAACAGATTAGCACTTGTAGTAGGAACAGGTGGACAACTGTAGACTCTACAAGCAGAAAGAAGTAGATAACTGAACTCTATGGAGCTTTGTGGAATGCAGGAGAAAGGCAAGGCACAGAAGAAGGCAAGTGCAGCGACCACGTGGTAGGTGGGGAGCGGAGGAGTGGATGGGCAGAGCCGCAGAACAGGTCGGGGGTGGTCAGGACACAGCACATGCCGTCCACTATCTGCCCTCTCCCCACGGAGATCAGATTTCTGTACTTCTCAGTCACGAGGTTCCTAGCCTTTACACTTTTTAAAAATCTTCACTTGAGGATATAGTTTATTGATTTTAGAGAGAGAGGAAAGGAGAGAGAAGGAGAAAGAAACATCAATATGAGAGAGAAATATCAGTTACCTCCGATCCATACAACTAGGGATCGAACCTGCAACCTCGGTATGTGCCCAGTGGGAATTGCACCCTCGACTTTTTGGTGTGTGGACGACACTCCAACCAGGGCATACATATTTTCTGTTGGTAACAGCGAGAGTGAGCTTTTACGCCATCCCCATGCTGTCCTACATCCTCATTACGCAGCCAGGGTGAGCAGCAGTCTGTGGCATGGATTTCACATGATAGAGAAACCTCTGACCTTGAACCCAGCTGGGCTGTGAACCACAGTCAGGCATACAGCATGGGATTTACTTCTGGTTTCTGAGAAGATCACCAGGGACACAACAACTGCTCTTTTGTATTTCATATAATCAGTGTAATTGTTAGCTTCCTAAAATTATGCCTTGTACCTGAATCACAGGTGGTAGTATGGGAAGATATCAGCTGAACTTGGTTCACCCACCTGGTGTGAAATATAAGACTTGTGAAGTGGAAATACAGTTTAACTTATTAATTGCCATGGGTGGCCCTGTAATAAAGGCAGAACCTGTCAGCTAAACAAATAAACAATTAACTTGTTACTGCCATTTAATGAATTGTTTTATAACAGGCTTCCCTTGTGTAATTCCCTTGTCTAGCTTACAAACAGGATCTAAACAACAAAAAGGATGATGAGAGGCAGGGGCCCTCCTGGGGAGGGCAGAAGCCTTTGTGTCGTTGCTAAGTGTCACAGAAATGTAACTGTGGCTTCCTGTCTTCTCTGATCCGGCCCTGTCACCTTCACAGTACCATCTCATGGAACGACCCGTGGCGCGTGGAGAAGCTTCCGGGACTGTCTGAAGGGACTGGAGAAACCAATGAGACATAAGAATTCCTTAGGGAGTATTTTTGTTTTTGCTTCTCCAGTACTATCTGGAATTCTGGAAAACCAGAGATACGCCTTAGAATGCAAGAAAACATGCACTTACATCTGCCATTCAGATTGTGCGTGTCCATGAATGAGAACGCCTCGTCACAGTTTGTGCCTTGCTCGGCGTAGCTCTTGTCCATGGAGTTCACCATCACAGTCATCTCCTGCCGGGTGCTGCTCATTGTCTCCTTCCGCTTCTTGGCTAGTTTCCTTGGGAAAAAGAGTTCATTATGTAGGCATGCATGTGAATAGAAAATTGGGTGTTGACATGCCTACTGACAAATAATAAGGAATAACTTCTAATGAATTGATCGTATTCATCCATAACATTGATTTATTGTGCCTTCTAGATATTGGCTGCAGAGACAGAGATGAAAATGACCTGCTGCATGTCCTCAGATATATCCACAGTGATATTAGGAATGTACAGCCTAAAACATTAGCTTCTGTTCTTGCTACTATAAGCTAAATTTAAAAGGACAATGATCATGTTAATTTAATACAAATAGAATAATTTTCCATTTATTGATATGCTTCCAGTTACTAACTTTTTACTAAATTATTTTTCTATCCATAATCGGTGGCAAAGAGTAGATCCCCGTAGTAAATATTTGCCAGACAAACTCTCATAATGTAATGAAGAACCTAAGAGGCACGCGGCAGAACTAAAGAGCAGAGCGAGGCGGGGAGTGTATGAAGGGAGCAGGCTGTGAAGCGGAGCCCGCGTGTGACAGGGGAGCTTGGGCCTCGGGAGCCTCAGGGGCTCATGTTCTAAATTCTCCGGCAGCTATGACATGGAACCAAATCCCAAATGAACCCAAATTAGTTCCCCATCAAGGTCTGTCCACAGAGCAGAAGACAAAAAGGAAACCTCAAGCTATTGGCTACTCTGGAAAGTTTAGCAGAGTAGGTCTCCTCGTTGCCCCACTCAGTAGAAGAGGATGCAAAAGGCTGAGAAAGGCAGAGATTTCCAGTTCTTTTGGAGACATAGTTTAACACTGGCATCTACATCCTTCTCACTGACCACCAAAAGCTCATGAATCAAAGTTACAGAAAAGCCATAAACCTAAGGGAAACCGACATTCAAATAAACAGATAAAACACATTTTTTATAGCTGTTGCTACCGAAGGTAGTTTTATGCATGCAAGACAGACAAGAATAGAATTAGAGATGCTTAAGTAGATGGTATAAAGTAAGAAGGTTTAAGGGAACCATGATGCCATAATGCCTAAAATATTCTGTCCTAAAATATTCTAAATCTGCCTATGCGCCTAGCGATATCTACAAAAGAAAATGACAGGTATTTCACGTAAATCATCTTGACTCTGATTGACTAGGACACAGCAAAATTTAAAATAAACCACATAATCAAAATCACCCTCGCATTAGGTGATAGCTAATGCAATGTAAGGCATTGACCATATTAGACCATTTAGATAATCCTTATTATTGTTTCCTTTTTTTATTTTTAAATTTTATTTACTTATTTTTCAAGTATAGTTTTCTATTTCTCCCATCCCAGCCCACCCTGCCCCGTGCTCCCCACCTCCCTCCCATTACCACCCCCCTTAGTTCTTGTCCTTGTGTCCTTTATACTTGTTCCTCCAAATCCCTCCCCTTTTTTCCCCTTAAATTCCCTCCCCTCTCCCCTCTGGTCACTGTCCCCCTATTCTCTGTGTCAGTGTCTTTTGTTTTTATTCTGCTTGCTTGTTTGTTTTCTTGTTTAGCTTCCTGTTAAGGTGAGATCATATGGTATTTGTCTTTCAACGCCTAGCCTATTTCACTCAGCATAATGCTTCCCAGTGTATGCAGAAAACTACACAACGCTGATGAAAGAAATCAAGGAAAACACAAACAAATAGAAACATATACCGTGTTCATGGATTGGAAGAATTAACATCATCAAAATGTCCATACTACCCAAAGCAATATACAGATTCAATGCAATACCTATTAAAGTACCAATGGCATATTTCACAGACACAGAACAAACACTTCAAAAGTCTATATGGAACCATAAATGACCCCAAATAGCAGCTGCACTTTTGAGAAAGAAGAACAAAGTAGGAGGGATCACAATACCTGATATCAAACTGTATTACAAGGCCACTGTAATCAAAACAGCATGGTACTGGCATAAAAACAGGCACACAGACCAATGGAACAGAACAGAGAGCCCAGAAATCAACCCAACCCTCTACAGTCAATTAATATTCGACAAAGGGAGCAATAACATAAAATGGAGTAAAGATAGCCTCTTCAGCAAATGGTGTTGGGAGAACTGGACAGCTATGTGCAAAAATATGAAACTTGAGCATCGACTTATACCATACACCAAAATAAATTCAAGGTGGATAAAGGACTTAAATATAAGCCGTGAAACCATTAAAGTCCTAGAGGAGAACATAGGCAGGAAAATCTCAGATATTCCACGCAGCAGCATATTTACTGATATGTCCCCTAGGGCAAGGAATATAAAGGAAAGAATAAACAAATGGGATCTCATCAAAATAAAAAGCTTCTGAGTGACTTAAGAAAACAGTATTAAATTAGCAAGACAACCAACTGTATGGGAAAATATATTTGCCAATGATACCACAGACAAGGGTTTAATCTCCAAAATATACAAAGAACTTACATGACTCCACTCTAAGAAGACAACTAACCCAATTAAAAAATGGGAAAAGGACTTGAACAGACACTTCTCCTTATTATCATTTTCAAATGGCACATAATCCAAATGCCTTCTTGCCTGTGGTTATAATAATATTTTAATATCATAATTTGAAGGCAGAGCTATTTTATTAATAAGCTGTCCCTTGTGTTGCTGAAAGTTAGTGGAAAAAAGATGCATTTTTAAACAGAAAAATAAAAAGCATCTGTAACTCCTATGACAGTGTTAAAGTTACAAAGATTTTGAAAAGTGAGCCAGCGTGACTGCTCTGGGTGCTGGCATTCCTCTCTCCAGTCTGCAGACCAAGGTCGTCTTCCCTGGAGCCCTCTCTCTCATCCGGCCAACCGTGCTAGGCTGAGATGCTTAGATGTTCTCAACAGGTGTTCTGGACGGAAGCAGCACCAGGCTCAGGCTGCACAGCTGTGGTTACAATAATACATCCTCTCTTCACTCATGAATCTGCCAGCTCATTGGAAAAGCATTCTTAGGCCAGGTCTCCCCAGGAACACTGAAGTGGAGGACTGAGATAATTAGCTCCATAATTCAGGCAAAATATTCTCATTTGGCTGGAATTCCTTTGATTTGCTTTAGACTGATTTATGCTGATAATTGCCTCAATATTTTCTTTTGTTCTGCCTATAAAGAAAGGCATAGACAAATTCATCGGACTTTCCTTTTTGTCTTCTTGCTTGTATTCCTCTGATACTCCCAGGTTAGGAAATGACAGTGAACTTACTGGTCGTGGTGTTGGTGGGAGGTGGTGGTGGTTGGCGGGATGTGTGCACCAGTAAGAGCTAAGCCTGTACTGGTAAAGCACTTTCTCCTTTTACATCCTCTGTGTATGTGAACTAATTTCTGTGATGTCACACTGCAACTTTATTGGTGACACTTTAAGGATAAAAGGAGCCTCTTAGTAACTCAAGAGAAACTGTTCAAATCAAACAGAGGCCCAGTCACAGACCTACAGCTTTGCACCATGTCCATTAGGCACGTGCTCTATGTCCATGAACCTTCCTTAAAACCCAGCTCACAATGTGCTCGGCAAGCCTTCCCGCACTAATCTTACCATCTCACCCCAGCTTTACTTGCATCATATGTCACAAACACAGATATCTCACCAGGGCCAGGAAGGTCACATAAGTGAGTGAAGTACATGTAAGACAATAAAGAGCAGTGGGGACTGCAGAAATGGAAGGGGGGGAGTGTCACTCACTCCAAAAGACTGATGCCCCATGGGGGGTGGGGGGGGGCCCAGACATTGGAAGTTTCAGGAGAAACCAGAAATCCAGATTTTATGTGAGGTTTCAAAAGCTTTAAGTGTTGTCAAATAATTCAAATAAAAAAATACTATGTAGTCCAAACACAGCATGTTTGTGAATATTTCTGCTCTCTATTAGTAATGGCAGTTAGAAAATCGTATTGGAATAGAAGGTAGTGGAAACTAACCTATAGTGGACAACTACTGTATGATAGCACCCTATCAGTGCTATCTCATTTAACCCCAGTAACCTGATAAGGGCTATTCTTACCTCCTGCTTACAGATGAACAAACTGAATCTCAGAGAGTTAGGCAACTTGTCCAGATGGTGGAGCTGGAATTGCACCCCAGATCTCTCTGACCTCAAAATATTCATCTTAAGAACAGTGTGTCCTATCTCTAGTAAGGTATTTCACTAATTTACATTTCCTTACAAGTTACATACAATTATCACCAAATTGCTTTCAAATATAAATACTCCATATCTAAATAATCCAATATCACTCCAAAATTAAATACTAGGTTTTGAAAGGGTAGGATTAATTTACTAGCACCTACTTGATGCTTTATACAAAGCATGTGGTATCCAATAGGCTTGTTAACTGAAGTAATTATTGTCATAACAAACCATTAGTAAGGAGAGTTGTTCTATTACCTACTTATCAAAAGTAGCTTGTCTGGTTTTGAACATTTTAAGTTGTTGCTTGGGATTTCTGTATGTTCTTATACACAGCCATATGCATTAGTGCATAATTACAGGTGGCTGAGAAATGTCAGATTTGGAATTGAGGCTTGTGAATGACTCTGGATACATTGAACCTTTACTCTTTTGATCTGTTTCTCTTAGGGGCTTTCTGTTTCAGATCTGTGAAAAGTTTTCATGTTAAAACTTTGAAAATTGTTAGGAAAACTTTGTGAACCTAATGAAATAAGGATTTTGTACAGGGAAACTCATAAAATGAAAGCAGTTTTCTTTACAATCTTATCTAAAAACACAAATAAATTTATTTTCCATTTGATTTTTGCCAAATGGTTTGCATGAAATATTTTAACCTCAAAATCTTCAAACTTGAAGTGCAAGTGAAAACTTCAAACATGAATCTCAAAAGCCCTTAGTAACAATAAAAAAGTTTCTACTAATATTAAAAATGAACCATAAAGAATCAGAGAGAGAACTTTCAGTTTACAGTCAAGCATGGGAGAAGCTTAGAAGTCATCACTCCATCCTCACAACAGGTAAAAAGCTAAACAAACCAAAAATCAACAATTCTTATGAG